TTATCAATATTGTCTTAGATTTACATAACCTTTCCACATTTAAAGAAAAACTTTTTTCCCCGATTGGAAGTTTTTTTTTTTTTTAAATTCCCACCTTTTTAAATTTTTTTTTTTTTTCCCCCCCCCCTCCCTTTTTTTTTTGGGGGGGGGGGGGGGGGGGTTTTCCCCCCCCCCCACATTTTTTTTTCCCCCCCCCCCCCCCCCCCCCCAAACACCCCCAAAAGGATTTTGACATACAGGACTCGTGGAAGTCTGGACTTTGATTTAAATCCTAGTTTTATCTTATAACATCATGACCGAAATAAGGCGAGTGCAATAGCCATGAACAGCTGTATATATATATATATTATATATATTAATCAGCGACACCTATAGTATCGGATAGTGTTGTTAATAGATTTTTTTAAAAATTAGTAATTCGCAGAAGAATAAAGTTTAAACGGGAGTTAAGTTCGGTGGCGGTTATTGTCAAACTCAAACTCATTATATAAATAAACAAGTACACTTATGAACGTCAAAAAAGAAGTTAAATTAATTGAAAATTTACATTTACTACCAGTTCGCAAGTCAATGGCGTAGAGCGGACAAGAAGAACTGGCAAGAAACTTTCCACCACTCAGTTGTTGAGATATACATATGTTAAATGAAACACTTTGTTTGAAGCTGGGTAACAACTGGCTTTAATTGTTTAAAACATGAGTTTATAACTAAGATAAGATTAGGGGTAGTGGGGGTGCGTTTCTCGATTAACAAAAAAAAACTAACTTGACTTATTGAAGAGTTCGTAAATTTAAGCGACACTTGTGTTATTGGACATTATCGTAAACGAGAATGTTAAATTACAATTTATGAGTGTGGTAAAAGCTAAAGGGTTCATATTGGCTTCAAGTGTGCAATGATTGTTTACGCTTTTAATTATAAACAAAACTCTACCATTCCTGTATATCATTTTAAAAAAATAGGGGAGTAGAGGTGGTGTTATTTTCTTTATCATAAAAAAATAAAAACAAACAAACTAAAAATTAAAAAAAAAAATTTGGTGGATCCCTTAAATTTAGGATGAAAAATAAGTTTTATTCTCAACTTACTAATATGCACACAAAATTTCATGAGAATTGTCGAGCCTTTGGAAGTTTCCACACCACACGAGAATTTTATATATTAGACTAGCTGACCGGGCAAACGTTGTTTTGCCATATATATCATATATAATAAAAAATAGGGGTTGATCGAAGAGGGGTGAAAGTTAGGGGTTTGTATGTATTTTTTAATGCTGTATCATAAAAAAATAAAAACAGAAAAAAATATCTAAAAAAAAATTTAGGGGTGACTGACTACCATAACATAGGGGATGAAAAATAGATGTTGTTCAATTCTCAGACTTACTAATATGAACAAAATTTGATGAGAATCTTTACGAGCTTTTCGGGGGAGTTATAACAAAAACCGCGAAGAGAATTTTATATATCTATACTAGCTGATCCGGCAAACGTCGTTTTGCCATGTATATCATTTATAATAAAAAATAGGGGTTGATCGTAGAGGGGTGAAAGTTAGGGGTTGTATGTATTTTGGCATGCTGTATCATAAAAAAATAAAAACAAAAAAAATACTAAAAATAAAAAAAAGAAAATTAGGGGTGGACTAACCTTACAATTTAGGGGGATGAAAAATAGATGTTGTTCGATTCTCAGACTTACTGAATATGCACACAAAATTTCATGAGAATCTGTCGAGCCGTTTCGGAGGAGTTTAACCACAAACACCGCGACACGAGAATTTTATATATTAGATATATATAACGTAACTGTTAGGTTACATAACTCGGGTGATATTTTAATTAACCTAAAGCCCTGTCCCTACTTTAAAAATAAACATGTGGATGCGCCCAAGTGTTGATGTAATTAAATTCTCCAGGCTTTAAAAATAAACCATGCACTCCTAACAATACCATGCACGAGTTCTCTACGACTCTCGTATTTTAATTAATTGCCCTATCAAATGATGCGTAAAATGTATAGCTGGGATACTCTTTACATAATAAATTCAACTTTTTTGTAATCAACTTTAAAATCTAAACTACCGAAAAATATTGCTTCAGAAAACATTAAAATATATGACTTGTGTTCGAAATACATAATTTTAATAAAATTTGAGGGTGATTCAAAATATTTTTACTCGGCCGATCGTCACATTTTTTGGTTTGTCTCTGCTTAGTTTTCCTCGGGTTATGTTAGACGCATTTTTATTTTGGTCAATACTTTTTTGTTTATTATATTTGTTAATAGTTACGTCCTCAATTTATAACATTATAGTGAGTGTATTGTGCGTTTTGTGAACTATTGTAAGGCTAGGTATCTTTATTAGTCTTACCTCTCTTTTTTCCCAATGTAATACAATTTCTCCAAATCCTAACGACTGACAATTGTGTGCCTTTCGTTTTGGTAAGGAGGTATCGTAAAGAGGTATGTACTCAGGACTTATTATCCTAGTATAAGATTGTGTATCGACGGCCACCGAACCGTTCTTTGTGGTACAACTTGATTGATAAGAATTTTCATTAAAACAAATAATAATATCCCAAATCGTTTCTAATCGAAACACATTTTGCGTAATTGTCATTACATTTTACGGTAAAATGATAAAACTGTCCAAGAATCACAAAAGGCAGGCGCTAAAGTCTCTGAAGCCAAGCCAAGCTGAAGATCGTCAGGGAATGCTGCGGTGATGTAATCTGCCACAATGGGCTTGGGATGTCACAGCACTAAGCTAGGAATTGGTCGCAGAACATTTGCATAATATGAACAGTTCCATATAGTGACATCACCAAGTAAGAGCTATTAATAAGAGGGTAAGAGTTAGAGATGTCTAAGTATGGCTCCTGTATGTCAAATCCGATACAGTTTTGACATATGGAAGGAATACTTAGAGCTAAGTCGACTGTTAAATCTTACACCAAGTTCACATTAGAAAGATTATCGTCTAGGTAGCATACGAAATTCCACCGGTATCACCTATACATCCGTTGTTCCAAAAGTAAGCGTTTTTTAAAGCCGTTTTTGCCGCGCTCCACCACTATGAGTAACCAGCTGCCCACTAAAATATTTCCGAACCAATTCCCTTCGAGAAAAGAGCGTACCAATTTTTAAAATGTGAGTGTCCATGGGCGGCGGTATCACTTAATATAAGTTGAGCCTCCTGCCCGTTTGCCCCATGTTCTATAAAAAAAAATAAAAAATAAATACGACTTCAGTCTTCAAAGTAGATTAGTCTTTTAAGAGTAGAAATGTGTGAAACAAATGCATTAGGACTTTCCTTAGCTGTAGTTACAATGTTACATTTTAGCTTTAAGTGCCTCTTTGACTTCGGTGCTTTCATGATTAGATTCTTAGGAAATAGCTGATTATGATATCCACAGTCACTGAGTCTAATTGGATGTAGTGTATTTTTGTTCAGTGGTATATAATAAATAAATCTTGGTAATTTAAATCTCCTGGATTTAAAAATGAATCATCGACTCTTATCTTACACGAGTTCTATATGACTCATTTTTTAATTAATTATACAAAAACATTAAAATTATCAATATTTAATACATTTGAAATATTTATATTGAAAATACCTAATATTGAATAGTTCCTTACAATTTGAAACACTATATGTTTAGTAGGAAATCAAAGGAAAAAAATAGAGTCGCTGTCGCACCTTTTAGGTGATCACTTGATTTTTTCTAATAGGCAAGTAGGTGATCAGCCTTCTACGCGTGACGCCATCGTCTAACGTCAACCGTCGTTATATGGCACGGCGGTTTACAAGGTTTTGCACACATGATGGTGCACAGCTGGGGTTAGAACCAATTACCCTTGCCTCAAAAATATCCTTAAAACAGACACAGAGCTGAGTCTGCCCCATACCAGCTAAACTCAAAACGCGTTGAATTAAGCGGGTGTAAAACAAACTTATAACAAGTATAAGCCACATATTCCGTTGAAATGTTCATATTTGTAAATGTCAGAGGATACCTTGCAGCTTGTCGGCTTAAACTGAGTGACTTAATGACATTTCAGTTACCGACTAAACTGTGACAGCTATATTTTAAACCACATTTAGTTAATTCTTTTGGTGTTTTGGTGAATTTTACGATGAAAAATACAGAATAAGTCTGGTTAGTGGTTAGTCTCAAACTTAAATGTCTGTGTTATGAGTGTCTTTTATTTAATTATTTATTAAAGTTTACCACATCATACATAGTACTAAATCTACGGCATATGTTACAAACACTTTTATCTAAAATGTATGACAATTTAAGGAACCATAAGAGTTACAAAAAAAATATTAAAAATACAATTAAAGTATATACTAAATAAAATAAACATACAATAACAATACCAGAAATTTTTGTTAAGCAGAAAAAAAATACCAGCAAAACGGCGTATTAGGTTCGAGATAGGCACTTAACAATGCTTTCTCTAAAACCGATTTGCCCACTACCGAATATATCCAGCTCCGAATAAGTAATGTTTAACCGCGAAAATCGCGAAGAATTCGAAAGAGAGGTGCCTGAACTTTTAGGTTAGTTTTAGCAGAAGGAATTTCGAAAATTTCTTGTCTTGATAACGAAAATTTTAAAATATAGAACCTGAATGTCTTGCACATAAAATCCTAATTGGTTTACGTAAATTTAGGTGGAAATATTAAACAATATTATGAGTGCAACAAATACTATTTAGATTAAATAAGGTTTTCATGTACTTGAAATATCTATTATATTTCCGTGTTGTGTTTTCGGAGCGTTAATAAACAAACTGCTAGATATGTTAAAAGCTTTTAATTTGATTCTTAAAATTCCTCAATATTCTACGTAATCGATTTAGAAATTCAATATATTTTATTGTTACAGATATCCCAGTAACACCAAGATGCAAGACATAACATAGTACGAACAAGATATACGATGACAAAATTTATCCACCCGGCGCTATGTCATAAATCTTCTTGCTATGACTAATATCACGTCGGGGCTTGAAGATTTCAAATGCAAACTTCTCACTGGGCCCAGCTGCTCCGACGACTTAATACCAGGTCTTGAATGTTCGGAGAACGTAACTTTCCTCTACAACTGCGAGCTAAATTTGGATCTTCAGAATGAAACTTCTTATACCTGCGTCAAATGTGCCATGGGTAATAATAGCGACGCTACTTCATGCGATTTTAGGCTCAATTTGATGACTGTTGTCTATGAAAATGCCCTAAAGAACGTGTGGCTGAAACTACCCGATTACCTGTGTGATTGGAACGATTTGGAATGTTTCCATGACTCGCTGCGGACGTACCGTGTTACAAATGACAGTTTGAGTGTTTTAGAAAGTTTTCAGTGTAAGTGGAATTATGGTAATGTCACGGAAGATGTAGGTGTAGGGGCGCGATATGAATGGACATTTTTGTTCGTCATTTTGTTTATAGTGGCGGGTGGGCTGGGCAATATTCTAGTTTGTTTGGCTGTGTGCCTCGATAAGAGATTGCAAAATGTTACGAACTACTTTCTATTGTCTTTGGCAATAGCGGACTTGTTGGTTAGTTTGTTTGTGATGCCAATGGGAGCGATACCAGGGTTTTTAGGTAAGTTATTTATATAAATTATTATTTCCAATAAAATTTATAGTAATATTTAAATTAACTAAAAATTTGCACAGTAAGAAAGTATACAATCACAGTTTGTTTTATACTCTGTTTAACACCTAATGTTAATACATTATATAACAAATAGATGACCTAAAAAATAATATTTAACCCTTGAAATTATAATTATTTTAGCATTTATATTTTACATGCACTTTACAAACAATATGTCCCCATAGCTTAGTGTAACAATTTTGCAGGTTATTGGCCGTTAGGTGTTGTCTGGTGCAACGTTTATGTGACGTGTGACGTGCTCGCCTGTTCAGCTAGTATTATGCACATGTGCTTCATCAGTATTGGCAGGTATATTTAAAATAGGATCTGATACTTTGATACAATTTTTGTTTCTTAATTTTAATATAAAAATGGCTGACTGGACCCACTTATAAGTAGTGAAGTCGTCGCATTTTTTTAATCGATACAAACACAATCGCTAGTGAGCTTTACAGAAGACCGGTGCTGATCGCACTTTTAACTTAAACATTATGATAAAATGTAAAATCTATAAACTATGTTTTATTAGGCTAGGTAGGTATATGCATTGCCGGCCTTTAAACTTTACTTTTACTTACAATACGAATATGTCTATATTTTTCATATCCTTCTATATTATTTAGTTTCAAATCTCCTTCGTCAAAGTATTATAGACTTTTTCCTTAAAAAGATGGAGGATTTAAAATATTTCAGTCTTTCAATGAATAACGCGCAAGAGTCGTTGTTGACAGTTAAATGCGTCGAAAAACATTAAAATCAATGCACTATATAACGTATATATAAAATTATAAACGGCAGAATAGTATATGAGAAATGTTCTTTCTTTAAAAAAATAAATTAAATTGCATTAAGAATTTATTTTTGAAACTAAATCAAATGTAAAATAGAACAAAACAAATGGAACACGATTGAAGTCCACGCCAACCGCAGTCGGTTCGATTTTCCACCCGAATTGTCACATCTCGTAGATTTTTTCAATTTTTCCAAGATATATTCCATACCTCGTAGCATCCTAATAGAATAGATTGGTTCTTTATCTTTACGACTGGGCCCGCTCACCCTAATCATTGAATGAAGATGTTACAACGACGACAGAATCCTCGCTTATATTCGCATTTTTCTCAAATATTCTAATACCACAGATAATTTGTTTTTGATTTCCCAAAAGAAGCCTTTATCATGCAGATAGGATTATTCCATAGAGTATTACTGTTCATATCATGCTTGACGTATTATCTTGTAAAAAACAAACACTTTTATATCGTTCGTTCGCGCGTAAAATCATTATCACTATTTTAATTTACGACTGTCACTAAAACTTGTAGCCATCAAAATGGGAGATGTAAAATACTAATTTCAGCATACACATTCAGGTTACTTCAACACAATAGTAAACTTCACTTGTCTCTTTCTGTCAAACTGTGCTTAAGCTGTGATGAAAAGAGACAGTTGTTACTTTAGTTTATGACTATCGAATGGATTTTCTTAGATTAAAGATACTTGTTTAAGGATGACTTTTGTTTTTAGGAGAAAAATATATAACCAGCTAGTTGTATAGTGATATTTCGTTTTACTAATTTCGAATACAATAGCTTATTAGGTGCTAAGGGGGTTCTGAGTTCGTTCTGGTATTATTATTCAAATAGCTTAATAACAAGAGATAACGATTATTAAGTCAATGAAGAGCACGCAGAATTCATGACTTAGTACAATATCATACGTGCCATTACATTAAATGTTGTCTTAGAATGTTCCTTTTAAGCTCGAAATCACGACGCAAACAAGCTAAACATATTTACAACGTATCTCAATGCAATAAGGTTCAATTTCGCATTGCATTAAATGCTATTCGCACTCGAATAGTTTGTCGGAATTCTACCCCAAATTTGGATATTACACGGCTTATATCTGTTATGTGTGAAACAGGGTTACCGGAGGTATTATCCCACGCGTTTTAATGACTTAAGTAAAGCTTCTATGCCCAAAGGGTTTGGACATTAAATAATTCTTACAAGCATTTTTGGCAGTTAATTTTTATGCGCCTGTTACGATCCGACCTCAAGTGTGCAATCGGTTTTTATAGACAGTAAACAAACTGATTTAATTATCCGAAAGAGTTTGTATTATAAATTGAACCCTATCAATCAATACTGCATACTAACTCACAAAGACTTTTCGGTTTCGGAAAGCTATGTTTTTTTCCGAAACGTGTTAGTAAAATCGCTTATTGTTACATATACGACTTGACTACATGACGAACTCAACAGTATTGTTTTAGTTGACTTTTAAATATAAAAAATAACATTGTTTATTGAGATAATTGGCATACGTAAAAAGTTACAATATTCCTAACCTATATAATAATAACTAAAATAGAAAACCGTAATAAATTTAAAACGTTTGGTCTCTATGGTAAAGGTACACAGGTTGACTGTCTCTTATTATTAAAACAAATCCAAATTCGAGCGTGTGATAATGGACATTTCTATCTTTACGCTAATTTGCGCGAATGCTTTGGTATACAAAAAAAATATTGGTGATTTTATTCTTTTGGAGAGAAAGTGTGTGCCTTCAAGTCTAAACCAATTATGGTTTCGGAAATAAATATGAAAGACCACACTCTTAGATTTTAAACTTTTTACTCATAAAATACTCGTCGAAATTCAGTAAAGAAACTATACTACACATCTCTACATTAATAAATGAGTCTTTGGAATGATAAAATAAGACAAATTCACGTTTTAATACCGACTACAATGTATTCTAATAAAAGTTACCGTACACAAGGGATGACTTTGAGTTGAACTATTTAAAAATTCGTTGAAAATACAGTACATTTCGTTGAAATCGTAAAGATAATGAACCAGACAAGTTTTATTTTAAAACGGAATGAAAACATTTACGAGCTCGTAAAAATTATATTTTAGTGGTGTTTTTGTCTTTTTTTATTCGTTGCGATAGCTTTTGCATTTGTAAAACTTCCCTCTGAGGATTGTTCTCGTATTAAATGTCTGAATCTATATCTGAAAATATTTATACAAACAATAATTTGTTGCCACATTTTATATTACATCTTAAAGTCATGCAAAGACAAGCAGTGGTAGATTACAATACAGAGGTCGCGGGTTTGATCGCGAACAATTAAAGCTGCATTATGGTAAAGAAAAACATCTTGAAACATATACGATGCCTTACACTGAGAAATGGAACATCCATTTCATCAGGACCAGATGTTAAAAATCATGCTCAGAAATCGGCACGTGATTTATGGGGCTTTTGAATAATATTACCAATCAGTCAAACACTTGTTACTTAGTTAATAAATATATATAAGCAATTACTATCTATTTTGACGTCCTAACGATTATCATAAGGATAAAGTCAAACCATGAAACTATTCTAAATCCCAGAATCCATACTCGTTGCGGATCTGTGATTTGATGAGCATTAATCTGGCTTCTTATAAGAGACATTGAATTATTTTTCTGAATATATGAATCAAGTTTGATGGATATAACAAGAACTATGGGTGAATAGTATTTTTACGTGCCTGCTTCGTAAAAAAGATTGTTCGTGATCTATCTGGTATATTTGATTATATTCAGCAGAAAAACCGTAAAGTGTGAATGATGACATATAGCTTTTCTTGAGACAGCAACATAATGATTAGTATTTTAATTTTAGAAATATCGCATTAGACAGTACAATACAAATTATTTAATCAACATAAATTTTCTGTAATATTATTGAACTAAATTCTTTTGGCGTATTTATCCTAGTGGTTTTAGCGTACCAATCTCCCTGAAGTCGCAAGTTCAAACCCTGGCTTTGCACTAATGCACTTTCTGTCTGTGTGCGCATCTAACACTCGTTCGTGCAGTGAAGGAAAACATCGTGAGGAAACCGGCATGTCTATCCAAAAGTCAACCACATATGTCAGACAAAAGGCTATCGTATATATATACTTATCTATGAAGTAAAACGTGACCAAAGAACTGTTGCGTCGTGGTCAGCAACGAAGACGAAAGTGGCGGAAAGTTTCTTGCCAGTACTTCTTGCCCGCTCTACGCCCTTGACTTGCGAACTGGTAGTAAATGTAAATTTACAATTAATTTAACTTCCTTTTTGACGTTCATAAGTGTACTTGTTTATTTATTTATTACCTTATACACAAACATACACATAACAAAAATACAAAAAAAACATGTTACAAAAGTTATAAGGCAACGGGCGGCCTTATCGCTAACAAGCGATTTTGTTTACCTATATGAATAAAATTATTTTGAGTTTGAGTTTGAAGCATCTGGAACGGACTATCTGTTTCCACCAGATTCGGTCCAGCGCCTCTCTTATGACAGTGTACAGTTTTGAGGACGATGAGTCTTTCAGTCGGTCCATCTGGTTGGCGAACGATTACGTGATCTTTTTCCTTCGGTATTACGACCACGTTCAGTTTCTCTAATTCTCATCGCCTCTGCGCATTGTATGGCCGAGTAAGTATGCGGAGTTGGGTCAGGATGGTTATTATATATAAGTTATGGAAAAACTAGTAACATCTCGCTGCTCTGGTATGCAAACCCGTCGAATATCTTAAATTAGTTTCTTCGTTCACTAGTTCATTGAAATAACGATTTCCGTTATAGCTCAAAAATATACAATGAAACATAAACAGTACTAAAATAGTTTTTATGCTTGTACTGTTTATAACAACATATAGTAGACTGACAGTTTTCTACCGAATTTAATAATGACTGACAGCTAACGATTCGTCGGTGTTAACAATTTTTATTGCCATTATTTATTTTGTTTACATTTTATGTTCTGTGTATAAAGTTTCTAAGAGTGTTAGTACTCTCTGTTGCCGATAATTTACTTTTAAAAACAGTCTGCTCAATCTTTAATATGTGGAACACAGCAATTCAAAACAGTAATGGAGAGTTTCTTGCCAGTTCTTCTCATCTGTTCTACGAGTTTGATTTGAGAAGAGACTGTAAGAGAAGGAGCTGCAAATTTAAATTAAGAATCATTTGCTGTCAGCTGTGACGAGCACATTTTATAAAATAAATTCCGTAAGATATACGAAAATCTCGAGTTATAAAAATTATAAAACTCCGACAGCGGGTGTCAAATTCGTTTTTGAGAAGTTTCAGGTGATTCAAATTATGTAAATTCTCTTTTAAGATTTCAAAATGTACCGAAAATAATTACGGTACATTTTGAAATCATATTATAAATTATATTAATACATTTTATTACTGCGCTTTTGTAACATAAATATTATATTTGCTACAAATATTTCAAGGTTTCTTGTAATTGATTTATACACACCCAATTATTACACCCAATAGCGCTAAAGCTTTTTATCTAATCAGTGTATATAATAATCCGCAAAACATATTTTAACAATCAATTAAGATTTTCATCTTGATCTCCCTAGGATTAAAAATTTAAACACTCCAAAAACACTGGACTCACTATATTTCACATCTTACTCTTCACTGATTCTTCTGATGACTTCACCCATTAAACTGTATCAAAGTTAGCCGAATATTGCTCATGCGCATGTTAGCTAGTATACACACATATACACCGACTATCAGGTGAATGTTCGATGTATACAGAGTCAAATAAACAACAATGGCTCATGCCCCATGTTAAGATTCGTAAGAACATGTTTGTATTTCACCAATTTAATAAAATTTGTATAGTATTGAAATAAATAAATATTAAAAGCAAACACAATGTGAAAAGTCTTGTTGGGTATATTTCTACCGTTATTTAACCGCGAGATAATCTTGCTGCTACGTGCATTCCAATAAAGTTGGTTCGTGCTGAGAATTCAGAAGCTTAGCTATCAAGAGTCTTGAATTTTTAGCGGTTAAGCCATTTGAGGCCCGATTTCCGACTTGAAGCTTGGCCGCATGACCTAGCTTTTAAAATTCACTTCAATGCATTGCTATGCATTTTTAAACATTCTATGTGTACAAAATGTTTATTCCTGATACAATAATGTTTTGACTAGAAGATATTTTGTATGCTCAATTATTGTTTTATCTAATATATAAAATTCTCGTGTCACAATGTTCGTTCCCATACTCCTCCGAAACGGTTCGACCGATTTTTATGGATTTTTTATGCATATTCAGTAAGTCTAAAAATCGGCTACTATCTATTTTTCAAACCCCTAAGTGATAAGAGGTGTTCACCCTATAAAAAATTTTGTTTTTATTTTTTGTGATCAGCATACAAAAATACATACAACTCTTAATTTTCACCCCTTTACGATCAACCCCTATGTGTTATTTGTTAATTGTGACTTGAACTCTGAGGTTTATATAGATTCCGGAAAACAGAACAGTCTCTGGGGTAGCATAGCAAAATGTTTCATGTTGGTATGTACTAAAGATGTTGGTATGTGCTAAGTAAAATCACATTAAGGAGAAACGAAGTTCGCGGGAGCAGCTAGTTATTGTATAATATTTAGTAGTGTTAGCCTAGGCTTTGCCAGTTTGCGCTCAATCCTGAAGCGGCGAATTGTTTCTTTTCAAGTTGCACAAACATAAACAAAGACTCATCAACTACTTGCCCAAATAAACATATAAAATTGGACTAATTACATCTTAACAAAAACGTTCATGAAGTTCAAACGAATAAAAAATACTCCTTAAATGTAGCTATTAATAATATATAAAGGAACTCTTGAATTTCCTTTCTAACGTAAAGATATAACTAAAAAGAAAGAGAAATCATCGCAAACAATAAAAACTTAATACATTCTATTATTCGTTCTGAGATAGCTTTTTAAAAGTTTAAGAGAAAAGTTTCAAGAATCATTAGTAAGATAATGGAATTCATTATGTCGGTTTTATGAGTTCAATGCGGATTCCACATCTAAGAACTTCGGTGATGATTAAAGAATTATGTTTCAGTTTGTTTTACGGAAACTAATTGCAAAGTTAGCTCACTCGAGTTCTATTATTTTTCTTGAATAAGTTGTTCACTTTAATGCCAAAACTTCTTCATATATAATAAATTTAAATAATTAGCTAGTCTTGTCTGGATTGCATTATTCCATGTCACCTAATGTTTTATCTCACATCTTCTAATAAATTTATTAAATATTACTAAATTATTGTATTTTTAATGTAATGTAATATTTTTATTGAATTTATCGAATGATGATATCTTCAGTTACACTAATCTTCATATTAATGTTTATTTTATAAGTGTAAAAATATAAAATATGTTCCTTCCATACGTATACCACATATTTTATTCCCATTAAGTTGTAGCCAAGGGGCTACGTGCTACGGACAAGCTACGCGGTTAAGCAGAGACGGAACGGTTGTGGCTAAGCTACATTTTACCTTGCAACGAGATTATATTCATGGCCAATAGTGGAAATGCCACAGGCCTTGACACTTTATAAAAGTAAATTAATAATTGGATAATCTTATTATATTATCAAAAATGAAGGGTATAATGTATATCCTGCAGAATACAGTTACAAACTTACGCGTTAGGAATAAATATAATTAAATAGCTTGAAGCTTATATTATTAGTTTTTGGACCACAAATTTTAATAAAAATGTCGTGTATTTGAATTGAATATAATTTTTATTTTTATAGCATACGTTTATATAATTAAGATTTAAAATTAAATTATTATATATTAATTAAACTAATTTATGAAAATCACCAGGTATCTGGGCATCAGAAATCCGTTGAAGAGTCGCCATCATTCAACAAAACGAGTGGTTGTCATTAAGATAGCTCTCGTCTGGCTTCTAAGTATGATTGTTTCGAGCTCCATTACTGTACTAGGTAAGACTATGATATATATATTATATTACTTTTAAGATAGATTAAAAATAATACCCAGAGTTGGCCATTTAAATATTTGTGTTGGTAGATTAATTAATTAGGCTAATTTAACGAGACATTGAATAGTGGTAAATTTCTAAGCTTTTAATGGTAATTGTATTTTTAGTAACTCTTAATTCCTATCAATGACTGTGGGACACTAGATTTCATAAGCGTCCGTATGTCCTAAGAAATGGCTACATTTTCTCTCTTATAATAGGTACCTATTTATGAAAGAGTACCTATTTAGACCATAAGTTTTGACAACAATTATAAATAACTGATCTTATTATTATGAAATTAAATATGACATTTGCATGCCTATTTTAATATGGCAATAAAATGTCTCATCTATGGAAATAAACGATTTATTATTATTATTATATACGTGTAATCTTTACGCAAACTTAAATAAAATTATGCGACCTCTGAGTGAAATCAAGTATGTTTTTTTTAGTTTAAAGTTATGCTTTCAACGTACGCGATTTTACACACAGACAATTACATTATAAATTATATACCTTAACACTGTCAATTATATTCCATAGAAAAAAAAACGTTTTAATGTGTTAATATTTAATGGGAATTGAAAGATCGTAATACAAAGCATTCGTTGTAAGAAAAGTCAACCATGCGGAAAGGTCCCTCTTTGAATGGCTGAGTCGCTAAATGTTTACAATAATGGCATTCAGATGTTTTAACTTTTTATTTTCTTTTACGTTTTATTTCACACTACTATGCTTATTTCAAAGTTTACGTTACTCGAAAAACAAAAGCGTATAACAAATATCGTAGCTACGTTGCTCAGCAAAATTATTTCGCTTAAGTACAGAAGCTTGCATTAAAATATATATCGATAAAAAATAATAAAATTTATCAAAGTATACTCTATTAATTTAAGTTACATTAAGTTTCAACCTCCGATGGAGTAAATGCCTCCCCGAAATCTTCAAATCGTCTCTCATCTTCGCTGCTCTCTTCCAATATCTCTCTTGATCTTCCCTTCTTTATGATGACCGCCCTATCCTTTTCAAGATAACTGGATCATTCATACAAGTAAGAATCTTTTTGACCCATTTTGTCGATCAATGACATAATACGGTGAAACTCAATAAGTTTAGGGGCGAGTCTATTTATTGAGGATATAGGGCCATCACGTTACCATCGGATACATAACCAGAACGGGTGACAACGCTAGACACCGTTAGAGATAAATAAAACATACGCAGAATTGTGCCCCCATACTCCAATGGGGGGTTGAACTATTATCGTTAAGAGATACTAACAAGACACTTGGGATGTGGGAAGCAAGAACATAATTAAAATTCTAATTCTCATCATGAAACACTTTGTAGTTTCTAAGTGTACCGCAAAGTAGCTCGCATAAGCGATTTAATTGCAAGTTGCAAAGTTTTTAATATAAAACGATGTGTGTGTTTGTAACCTAAAAAAAAGAAATTTTATTATGTTGATGCTCACTTGCTTGTTTATAAAATAAAAAAGGTTTATATTCCGTGGCTTATCTCCGTGAATTCCGAATGGCCGAATCGGTCTGGATAACATTACAAATCCATTTATTAAATCAATCTTGAAAGGTATGATAATATAAATTTTAATTTAACAAAAATTAGTCAAACTATAATCCTTTGATCATTTTACACATCCGTTAAGTCCCGCGCCAAACAATAAAGATCGTATAATCGCTTTCGGATTATGTCAAATTGAAAACGGCCCTAAAAGGATTCTTTATAACTGGAACTCGTGCGTTTTATACGAACAAGGTTACGAAAGGCTATATAAAATCGGATTTGGTCCCATTTTATGACTGATTTCACTCCATTCATTATACTTGATTAAGGGGGAGCTTTAGCGAGCCCATAACTTAATAGATTATAAGCAGTCTTGTGGACTTATCTATCTCCTAACAATAGAAATGAAGAAGCTTATGTATAAGAAAGATTTGTACATGAGCTGAACTACTTTGAAGCAATTTTCTTAGTTATGTTGCCTGTTGGCCCTTAGTGCAACAAAGAAATCGTCTCTCATCTTCGCTGCTCTCTTCCAATTTTACCCCGCTATCTCTCTTGATCTTCCCTTCTTTCTGATGGTCGTCCTATCCTTTAAGATAACTAGACCATTTCAAGTAAGAATCTTTTTGACCCATTTTGTCGATCAATGACATAATACGGTGAGACTCAATAAGTTTAGGGGCGAATCTATTTATTTATGATATAGGGCCATCACGCTACCATCGGATACATAGCCAGAACGGGTGACATCGCAAGGCACCGTTAGTGATAAATAAAACCTAAGCAATTTTCTTTGTTATGTTGCCTGTTGGCCCTTAGTGCAATAAAGATTCATACATTTCTTTGACATAAATTGTTTTAAAATATATCGAAATATTAAGAAAATGTTAACGAATTAACACGTTCACTGCGGCAAGTAAAATCATAATTCTTCATCAGGTGCGGCGGCGGGCCAAAATGCGCCCCCAATGATATTTCCGCCGGTGCGTGGCAGGTCTTTCTAGACACAACAGCACTAGGATAGATTAAATTGCTATAACTTTGTGGAAACTTTTATATTGTTAGAATGACCTTGAACCCAACTTCCTTAGGTTTGATTCGCCCCGGGATCTGGCAAACAGGAAATGAGAAATAAAGCAGGAAAAGCGGCAGGCCGATATCGACCTGAACCGCACTAGATTATATTTTTAGTAGTGATGGGACAGAGAAATAAGGGGATATCGAAAATAAAACAGAATTATCGTAAAAGAACTGAAAATGTATTTATTTACTTATGTATGCCTGTCTTGGAAACAGAAATACTGTTTATTTTTCTTAGTGGAAAATATTTCTTCACTGCTGTCACTATCACTGTCAATAACTGCAAGGAGAATTACTCTATTTTCCAAAATTTTTATTTTTATTGTATTGCTTGCTATCGTTGATTATATCGAACGCTACGTTAGATCAGTTAGATAGCACAACTGGCCGGGCGCGCGCTCTGTGCGTTATCGGGTCGCCAGCTGCCTGTTGGGTGGGCGGGCTGAAATAGGCCCACTGCCGCACTCAGCGGATACACAGCAGCGTCAGTGCGTGGTAGGTCGATAAAAGCCTGCCGTTATGTTTTTATGGGGAAAACCTACAATTTTGACCGCAAGATGAAATATATATTTGTCCCTGTCGAATTTTTACAAACACCTGAGATAATCGTTACGCACCAGCGAGAGGGACATAGATTTCTTCGTCCGCACCAGCTGAAATACCGCGGCAGGCCGATATCGGCCTGTTACGCAGTGAACGTGATAATGTTATTTTCAAGTCGAATTTATTTCACGATCTAAAATCTTTACGTGATTGTTAAAAACGCCACCAACATCGCGTATACATTTTTTAAAGACACCGTTGTCTTACAGCTGATATATTTTATTTCCAAAGCGTGTTAAAATATTATAGTTATATAACTTGGTTTATTATTATAGCATAGTACCATTCAGGGTAAGTTCGATAAACTTTTTTCAACCCTGAAGATAGATTTTTCTTGTATGCAATTAATATATGATACATTGAAGGAAAACGTAAGGTAGCCCTGTGTTTGGCCAAAGCAAGCTAACTTAAATAACATATAGAAAAAATATATTAAATTAGACTAAAGTACCTAATTCTTGTTGGTAAAATACGTAGAGCATAAATCAAAAGTCAAAATCATTTATTCATTTAGTTAACACAATGTACACTTATTAACGTTTTTTTTTATTGAAATTTTTTTGAAATTTTACATTTACTGCCACTTCTCAAATCAAGGGCGTAGAACGGACGAGAAGAACTGGCAATAAACTCTCGGCCACTCTTTTTAATCGCCTTTAAATCTCTTTTTAATTTTACACAATGTTTATAAGGAGCTGCAACCACTACACCATATTCCACACGACTTCTTAAGTAATTAATAGTTAATTCATAATTTAAAAAAATATTGAAAGCAAAGATTTTTCCTCTATCAGCAGTAGGCATGGTGAAATAGGAGCACGGACTTACATTCTCGTGGGAACAATAAGCAAATACATAGTCCAAATAACTAACATACTGAAGTCATATTTTGCAGTCTCGACTCTTTATCTTACCCTAAGACTAGAACACGAAAGGGTACAACTGGTTTATTATTAAAGTGGTATTCATTGAAATGTAAATCGAAACTTTCTCTTGTATTAGTTGAAATAAAGGCTTTAAAATTGAAATTGATTCATTGAAATAATGTCTACCAATCTGTACCACAAAACAGTTCGGTGGCCGTCGATATAAATGGTTTTTTACTAGTAAGCTAGTAAGGTTACATACATTTATTGACTTGATACATTGACTCGAACTTAACAACGAAAGAGGCACATTCGTCAGTCGTGGGGATAAGTACATAATCTGGCGCGGCGCAGAGCAATCGGAAAATAATAAACGGCTACAAGAGTCTCTCCTCCAAATTTGATATTGTTCCCTTTGGAATAAAGACTCTTGAGTCGTGGTTGTTTAAATGCACGCTAATTAAAGATTTTAGTTGGCACCTGGTGCCAGAGACCCCAGAGCTGGTGCTTTTCTCGCTCAACGAATAAGTATCGCAATACAGCGAGGAAATGCTGCCAGCATTAAAGGTACACTGCGACAGGGACTAAACTTTTTAAGATTGCTTTAGTTTTCAATTTATCCATTTTTTATTATTATTACTATGTTGGATAATAATGTATATATAAAATAATGATAAGAATATATATGAATAATAGTAAATGTTGTATATTTGTGTGTTGGAAATCAATAAAGATAAATCAGTAGAATGCAAGAGGTTAGACTGATAACAAATACTTAACAAATTTTTAAAATGACAACACAAATAGGCCCTAATTAAGACACTCTCAATTCCAGAGGGCTCGCGAGTGCGTTGCCAGCCTTTAAATTGGTACACCCTTTTCTTGAAAGACCCTAAGTCGAATTGGTTCGGAAATATTTCAGTGGGTAGCTGGTTCCAGATAGTGGTGCGCAGCAAGTGCCTTGCCTCAGTTGTGGAACGCAATTGACAACAATCAATTTTAAAGCTATTTAAAATTAAATTATTTTTATTATTATTAAAATTAAAGCTTGGGTTATAACAAAATCAGAACTACGCAGTAATGTAATCATCGGCCGTGTCAAAAAATATGAATCACTAAACAAAATTTCATAAAATAAAAAATGTCTATTTCCAACACACTACTCCAACACTCACGGTCTTACTTCAATTCACTAAATGTGCTATTTCCTCAGATTTTTGCCATCAAATGAAAACGTGAAATATTAAGTCGCATTTTGCATAATACATGTAAAGGGTCCAAGTGAAATTGTTCAAAACGTAATAATAGCCTATGTTAGTTAGGGTTGTAACTTTTCGAGCGATGTTAAATTATATTTAACCGTCTTTAGAACCATTCGTATTGTAAGTTATTACACTATTTACGTTTATTACGTTACTTACGTTGGCTTTGTTTAATCTAAAGATCGTTCTGGTCTTAGCATTTTAAAAAAAAAATACATTATACTTTTTTTAAATTACCGCTTTGATACCTCGCATTAAAACCTCAAATTACATCCGTTTTCTCGATAATTTTTATTTTATAGACAAGTAAATTATATTGGGGCACAGACGTGAATCGAACACACGACCTCAAGGTTCAAGGTCGCATTTAAAGAATGGCAACACTAGGGCAACTCCTTTTAAATACTCACCCATTAATATATATCAAATGATTGTATATTTATCATTTTTGACTATAGGCCAGAAGGTAAGCTCATGTTTGCAGAACACAAATTGTTATTTTTTTCCTTTTGTAGACGTGTATGGTATGTGGCAACCCTATGAAGAGCAAATGATTGCGTCAAAGAGAAAATTCCGTTAATCTCGCTTTGTGTGGTTAATACAGCGAGGCTGGGGCTTGTAATTTGAACTTTTTAATTTTCTGATTGGAATCTAATGCTTTCAAACGAATGAGTGATGATGAACATGTAAAATTTACTTAATTTTAATTTTTAAAGTGTTGTAACTTTAACCCAAATTAAATTACTTAGCTCATAGGCTTTGGATTTTTTTAAATTTAATATTTGTTTAAGTTTCGATTTTCAATCCGAAAAATATCGAGATTCGTACGATAATTAGACTTCTTTTATCGAATAGTTATACCAAGTTTTCGCACGAATCATGGGATTTTAGATCTCGCCGAAATACATAGTAATTCAGTGGTCAGCTGATTCCACATAGTTCCTCAGTTGTGGTACGACAGGCGTGATACGGGTGGCATTTCGTATTCTGCCTTGACGTCCGATGATGAAACCGAGCTGCAGGTATTCTGAACAACTCCTCTGAACACTCTCCATGGTAAATGCGGAAGATTCACATCTATACGCAACAAGGGATCAAGCCGATCGGAAAGTGACTGGTCGTCGACGTTTCAAATCACTCTTCGTTGAATACGGTCTAGTTGAAACAGCTGGTACTGGAGAGCTCCCGCCCAGAGGTGAGATAAGTACTTCATGTAGGGACGAATTTGAGCTTTATAGAGTTGCAAACGGTAGCCCGACGTACGGTCTCGCCTTGAAGGCATATCCTGTTTTCTGGTGTTCATTACCAGGAAACAGAAGTTGAACTTTAGAGAATCAAACCACATCAAATGTATCGAAATAATACAACAAAAATTGTCAATTTGCTTGAATCATTTGTGATGGCAATAACATGCAAGTATTACACGAGATATTCTTATTCGTACGGAAATTGGATATATTTTTCAAAGCTTCATGTCTACTCAGCTATCTTGTGCTCAAGAGGATACAATTCCAGTTAGATCAGCTACTTTACTGAAATTTGTGTAGTCTTATTTATTCGGGGTAAAACAATCTATTTCTTTGTGAAGTGTGATAAATTCAAATTCAAAATCATTTATTAATTTAACAGTAACACAATGTACACTTATGAACTTCTATAAAGAAATACATATTAAATGCTTCTAATTTTACATTTACTACCAGTTCTCAAATCAAGAGCGTAGAACTGACGAGAAGAATTGGCAATAAACTATTTTTAATCGCCAAGTTTTTGACTGAAGGTCCAAGTCGAATTGGTTCGGAAATACTTCAGTGGGCTGATCACCTACTTACCTATTAGAAAAAAAGGAGTGTGTTTAAAGCCTCGTAATTAATGAATACGATGAAGCAGACACTGTCTTTATACGTTTGATTAAGACTAAAATAATTATTGTAATTGTACCCAAAACCTGAAGCCCCGTAAAAATAATACATATTATGATTAAATTTTATTACATACAATGTCTTACTTCCAGGACTGATCAACAAGCAGAACATAATGCCAACTCCAGAGCTATGCGTCATCAATAACCGATTCTTCTGGGTTTTTGGGTCACTGGTGGCGTTTTATATACCAATGCTGATGATGGTGGTGTCGTTTGCACTCACTGTACAACTACTAAAAAGGCAGGCAATATTGGCTGCAACTCCAGTGCCGGGTGGTACACAAAGAAGGTGAGAGTTTGCTATTTAAAGGGAAATTATTTATTTATTTCGTAATCCTACAGCTAACACAAATTATATGTAATAACAAACAATTATAGAAAAAATATAGCCAGAGATGGATACATCATATTTACCTACAAAAAGGTTCAAAAATTTACAAAAGGGAACAAACAATAAAATTATTCAATACATTTAACTAAGTGATACCTATTTTAAGTGTTGTGTGAAGGTGTGTATGTGGGGTATGCTCATGATGCAGGTGATTTTGCGCTATGAATATTCATAATACACCTTTTAACCATATTCCGCGATAGCAAGCATACAAGTCAAGGCTTAAATATTGTTCGTTGTATGTCCGGGCTGTGCGATACAAAACTGAGTTTTATACTGATGATAGGTCAGTTTTTAACTCGTTGGAATCTAAAGAATATAACTTTTACTGAAATACTTACTGAAACGAATATTTAGAATAGTAACGATAGACTTGTGTATTTAAAACTAGACGGAAACACCATGGGTAGTTTGTATTTCATTAAGTAAACTAAACAAATTGTATTAAAAATTGACGTGTAAGCTATCTAAAACGAACACTGTCGTAAAGGAATATTTTACGAAAGTATCGCAGCATTTTTTGTCGAATTGGTTTTGGAAATACTTCAGCGCGGCAAAACTGGCTTAAAATACGCTTAGTTGTGGAACGACGGACGTCGAGGTGATACGAATGGTATTTTGTATTCTGCCTTGACTTACCTGAAACACAGCAGCAGCCCTGCGATTCTGTTACTCACTTTTCGAACTCACACAGCGGTTTTCGCATCGGCGGTCGCTCTCAAATCAGTCGTGAAGCAGTCATTTTATGATTCGGCATTCTGAAAAGGTGGGAGCTTGTAGTTTATTGTTTATTAGAATGCCAAATCATAAAATGACTGCTTCACGACTGATTAGAGAGCGACCGCCGATGCGAAAACCGCTGTGTGAGTTCGAAAAGTGAGTTACAGAATCGCAGGGCAGGTATTAACCTGAACAACTCTGCCTAGATCATATATCCATAGCAGTCACGGAATTTTGACATAACACATAACTATAATTTAAATATTGATAGCTCAAAATGGAGCAAATGTAAAATGTTCAATGCCAAGGCATTAGCATATATTCCCCATAACTCTGTGCGTAATAGAATATTTATCTTTGGAGTTTTATCGTAAGGAAATACAAATGCCATCGCTTGCCAATACATCGATTATGAAATATTGCGTAACTTTGTGTTAGTACATACTAAAATGTATGTAAATCTAATTGTACGTATGTACTTGGGCACAGGGACCAAAAGTAAATTTGCTATAGTTAATATAAAGAATAATGTGTCAGAAAGATAAATTTTACTGACACATTATTGTTAGCATAGTAGCTTCAGCGTGCGATTCTCATCCCTGAGGACATAGGTTCAATCCCGGTTGTGCACCAATAGTCTTTCTTTCTATTTACAATACGCGCATTTACCATCCACTCGAATGTTGAAGGAAAACATGCCTTAGACCCAAAAAGTTAACGCGTGTGTCAAGCACAGGAGGCCGATGACATGCTTGTGTGTTAGATTGACAAACGATCATGAAACAAATACAGAAATCTGAGGCCGAGACCTAAAACGGTGGTAGCGCCACCGATTTATTTTTTATAATATGTATGTTAAGACTGTACAAATGTCAGATGACAATTTAAAACAAAAGAACAAATTAGATTTCGTTCATTCATTTATTTCAATTTCCTTGCTATGATACCTTCACCGTGTGATTAATAATTATTTAAACGTGTACTAAAATATATGGTCTCTATAAAATACTAGTACTTAGATAAAACTTATCTGTTGAGGAAAATGGCGTTCTACAATAGAGTTCTAAATACAATTTTAAGCAAGTCATATTATTACGCTACATATTCGCGAAATTCTTGCGAAGTAATAATTTATTACAACAGCGCTTCAACTAATCATCAGGGCCATTATCTAAGCACTTTCAGTTTAATATCTTACTTTCACTAGAGTTATTATATTTTTAATCAAAAAATGTGTGCTTTTATAAAGCGTTAAAAATTGCAATAAAACAAGTGAATGGCGCGCAAAGCGGGCACAGATTATTAATAAAATTGGTGTTTGATATAGACTATAGAACTAAGTTCATGGAATCGATATAAAACCTTTATCATTAAAATCGTGAAAGTGTTATTGCTTCATTATTATCTAAAAATGTTTTTTATACTACAATATTGTGTTCATGTGTCAAGTAAAATATCTGTTTCATTCTATTTCACATTCGACGGGAAAATTCAATCACTTGCACTACTAGCGGGAGCAAGTATTGTTCACGTTTTTGTGACTCAACGGGGTGTGCCTTTCTTTATTACATAATAGATTTCCATTCAACTTGATTAGCGTGTATTTTGGCATCGTTCCAACATCCGACGGCTAGTGAAAGAAACGACCTATCCATCAATAGTCCCTGTGTTTGATTGTAAACTTTTTATCTCGTTATGCAAGTCATTCGAAGATAACGGAGATTTCTAGTTCATTACACTAATTACGATTGATTAGGACCCTTTTTGTTTTTACTTGTTTAACAATAATACCAGTAGATCAGGGGGCACAGAATGTAAAAACAATGGAACGTTTCATTCAATTGTCATTTATCAACAGTATGTCTAGTCTTATCATAGACACATTCGTCGTGACGTTCGACAAATCATCATAAACACGCATTTGTTTTGTCTATGCTTTTTCTTTCTGACATTCCCGGTAAGTTTTGATCTTTCTGGATAATTTTTTTGCGCAATTTTTTATATTAACCCGATATAACACGCATGTGATATCTCATATAAATATCATAATATTAATAGCAGATTCATAAATCTGCGTATTTGTTTGACAAGAATGAAGTTCTTTATGAATTCTCTATTGAAAGTATGTCAAAATATTTAAATAAAGAGTATCACTGAATGTTTTAAATAGTAAAACTCATATACATAACATGTGATTAAAGTGATATTGAGAGATCAAGCAAATTTTTCTATTCAATAAACATCAAAGCGTGTTCATTTCAAGGATATAAATTACTTCTATAATTCAATGTTAAATGTTAAACAATTAAAATATTTTTATCGCTCGTAAATTAGAAAGGCGTATTAAATTTGTTGTTTTGTTTGGTATAATAATAAATAATAATTATGTAAACTTTTGTAATTCCTTTTTTAAATTGTTGAATACACGCGCCAAATCTAAGCATTTTTTTAAATTAACAAATTACCCGCGCAGGCTCATAATTTATTGTTCATTTGTTTATTAACGACACCCTGTCAAGCAGATTTGTAGCGAATATTACAAATTTTAACACGACGACACTGGTTCTTCGCCGCCAACAGAGGGAGCGATTTCAAACGCTTGCGGCGACAAAGTAACTAGTTCGATCTGTGAATAAATTAATGTTAGAAAGGAAAAAAAAAAATATTTGTTTTTAAAAAGAAGAAAAAGCGTTGGGCGAAGAAAGTGCGTTTTTTATTAAAGTAAACGGAGCGATGATACTGATGAATTCTCTATGGATAGTGTTAGTCTTTGTAAGTCAACATTCCTTTGCGCTATTTATAAACAAAGATGTATAATATATCTCCGTATTGCAAAATAACTGCCAATATATCGAAATTGGTTAGAGCTAAGAGCATACAATTACATTAGCTTTACGATGGTACGATTTATAACGCCCATAGGGATTTATGTTTGCTAGCAAAAAGTTTCGACGTCAAAACCATAAAATAGAAGCTCTGATAGACGTTTTATTATTGTTTTTATCAGAACATAATTTTAAATATATATTCTTATTTGTATGTCGTAAATAACGTTGAGCATGTTTTGGAAATATTGTTAATGTCATATAATGAAATTGTATATCGGCGCTTTTGTCGCTTTTGGAAAATAAAACATTTTTTAATGCTTTAAAAAAATCTTTAAAATTTTACGATTATAAACACGTGTTTATTATTAAACGAATATCTTAAACTTACAGTAAAAATCAAATGTTATATATTTTAATTTCGTATTTCGGCAAGGTGCCGACTATTTCAATCTTAATTAATTCTATACCAACATTTTGTTTGGATTTTTGCTATACATAAACAAATTATAATAATATGCAAGTAATACGGGTAACATGTCTTGTCACTCACTTACTCCTTAGGAGGAGTATTAAATAAAGTTTATTATTATTATAATATCTACTGATGAAAACTACTAAAATTCGGTCGGTGGTTTCATAGTTTACCGCGCTTATGCTGACTAGCGTAAATTCATGTAAGCATTAATATTTCAATAGAGCAGTTAAGGTCACAGGTTCGATTCCCGGCTGTGCGTCAATAGATTTTCTGTCAATATGCGCATTTACCACTCGCTCGTTCAGTCAAGGAAAACATCGCGAGGAAACCGGCGTTACACCTAAAATCGGCGTGAGTCAGTCATAGGCTGATCACCTATTTCGGTATCTGTTTACGATACAGAAATCTAAGGCCAAGTACCACTGGTGTTTTTCAGTATTAACAACCCATAATAACTATAAAAACTTTATACAAAACCTCACCTTGAATATATTTCTAAAAGCGTGCCAAAAACTTTTCACGCCAAATATATATTTATTGAACAAGAAATATAACGAAAGCGAATTTGTAGCTATTGGCACGGGGCTAAAATTTATGTGATTAAATTCTGCCAGAAAAATAACTTTTCTTACTTGTATATACAGTGTACTTTTCGTGAAATGCGGTATTGGGTGTATTGTTAGCTATAGAACTTTTAAATAAATCATTTTAAATTTGATTTTATACTTTAGTGTGTATTTTTAAATTTAAAAACACTACTTGTTCTACTACGTTAATAACTTAGGTAGTATACTGTGCAATGGTTATTCTAGTTTAAACAAGTATTTGACATACTCCAGATTTTATACGTGCCGAACTCTTGCTTAACCTTTTTTGTAACGCTATTACTCAAAGATTCTTAGAACTCAATTAAATGATAGTGGTCAGCCAACCTGACGTCAGACTGACTGGCTTTAATGCAGAGATAGCAAATGCGTCTTTGAACGTAGCAAATAGTATCAAATAGGTAGAAAAATATGGCGTATAGTTTGATTGCGATATCAAATTTGGTCAGCCAACCTGACCGACACCAGATTTTGATTTGTTTAAAGTAGGAGTCACAAAGTCGCCGTACGAGTACAGAATTCCTTTAAAGAAAAACCGTATTATATTAATAGTTTAAAAAACGTATTCGTGTTAGCTTGCGAGGGTGTGAGCCTTAATGTATTAACTTTTATACCAATCTCGCTTACATAAAAGCTCCACTCAACATAGCGACACATCGCGGTATAGGAAGCCGTCTAGGAACAACGATCAGCATGTTTAGTGGCTATTCATTTCTCGCTTCCTCTCAAAGTGGCGAAGACTACCTCAAGCCCTTAATTATCGTGATGAGTCTGCATGATAGCTTTGAGATAATCCCACAACCTTGAACCTTTGACCCTACCCGTAGGGCTCCGTCTGTTACCTTAGGTCTCTTGATGCAGACATCCCGTACTTATTTATATATTCACTATTTATGTGTTAGGGTAGAGCTGTAGGGCTTAGAGATCCGTAGGGTTGTTAGGTTCTTACATCTCACCCTTTCATATATTTAGTTATCTAGTGTAGTTTGCTCATACATACACTACATATACTATACATATACTTCTGACATTTAATACATATATATTTATATCTTTTAAGTACACTGTGGAAGTAGTATCTCTTGTGTGCTTAAACCCTGGTGTGCACCATATGTTTCTCTTTGTGCGTAATTAATACTTGATTATAGGGTGAAGGAAAACATAGTGAGGATCTCCACACTTAATTGGCAGTGTCGTTGGTACTACGGATTTCATATTAAAAAAATAGTTTTTTGAGGTTATTAAATTTGTCGGAGGCGCTAGTATATACACTTTGTCATAGCAAGTCCACTGGAGAATATTTGCGTGACAGGTTTGTCGAGGTAATAATGTGCTATTGTGGTAGCTGAAGAAATTCGAGTCGAGTTTGTGGTTTTCTATTAACCATTGGAGAGTTATTATACCCGCCCTTAATAGAACTTAGCACTTTCGGATTATACGAGCGACTAAAAAGTCACCAACGTGGTAGTAATATATTTTGTAGCAAAACATTACTCGTGGTATTGACGAAACGACCCGACATAAAGACCGCTGAATGTCCAATTTCGTTCACTTATCATTCTCATTCATTCATCACAACTCCACAATACATGCAAAACAAGCCCAACTTGTGCGGTTATAACGAAACTAATGACTTCTTTGTTTCGCGTACAATACATGTTTGTGGAATCACTGAGTACCGTGATAAGACAAAAACGTTTCTATGTTTCGATTTTCGAATTGTGATTCTTTAAAAGGAAAGGCTATAAAATTAAGTTTTGTGTTTATTCATTCATAGGGGACAAATATCGAAACAATAATACGTGTCTAACCAAGCGATACGTTAAGGAAATAAGGATATTAAAGCAAACATGCCGATCTGCCGTTTATGCCTTACCATTAACACAATCAATAAAAAAAAAATCTATTACGAACCATGACTTTTATTATATTTTTGAAGTCATACTTCTTTTGGCGCGTTAGGGAAAAATGATGAGAGTAAATTTTTACGATGCGCGCGCACACCGTCACAAAAAACCGACACCCGCACACCGTCACAACGAACAGACTCCCAGAAGTTAGCATAATCTTCATTTTAAAATAAAAAATGTCAATTTCTTTAAGTATGTAGAAATATTGTTTTGTGATATAAATATATAAATAAACTTTATTTAACTAGATAATGCGTTATAATAAAACTTTCAATGTATTAAATACATTTTTTCTACTGTTAGTGTCATTTTTTCTACAAACGTAGAATAAGGCGAAAGATAATTTTTTTTTTAAAGATTTATATTTTGTTACGCTAAAGAAGTATAACTTCTAACGCGTGTACATAAGTATACCTGCCTAAAATTGTCAAACACCTGGGATCCAATAATATCCAAATTAAAATCTCAAGATAAACAATCCGCGAAATTAGAGGACACCGTGAGCCATTTCTGCCAAAACCCTCCATCTCTTAGTCGATACCAACTCCAGGGAAATAAATACAGATAATACAACTTTTTCTACAGCTGTGATACTTTTAACATTCAACACCTTTTGTCTTCAGTCACCGTGACCACGCAATCTGTAAAGCACGCGAAACGTCGGTTAAAATTATGTAAAATAATTGTAAATTTATAATAATACATAACTTCAATCCGGTAAAAAATTGTTTCCTTTAAATGTGTAAACGTTATGTCAATAAAAGACAATACTAACTACAGCTATATCTAGTAATATTACCGTAATTAGTAAAAATATTAGATACTGAACTACTATACTGATTTAACGGTTTTAATGTCCTATCTCTATGCCAAACTTAAAATACTAATAAACTTTTATATTAATATACCAATATTTTTGTAACTTTTGTCAGGCAATGCGGAGCTTTTGACAATGGACCATCGCAGAATGTACGGCGTATAAACGCAAGAAGTTCTCCTGATCTGTCACCGGCAGCTGTCTCCAGACATATGACCTGGCGGGTTACTACCGTATCCAGGTATGTGTTGAAAAAGCTATTATTTTTAATTGATTTCTATAAATGCAATTATAAAGTGAAATACCGATTCAATACCAAGCTTTACAGGTTAAGGTATTATGTCTCATCATAGTTATAACATTATCAATCACTCCACATTGACACCAAATTGTAGAGGAATTGCTTTTCCAGCTACAGGGATGACCTTTTGCTTTAATATTTAACCACTTTCTTAAAAACAAATTTTTTACTAATGATTCTAAACTTTATATACATTCACTACTAATCTTATGCAACACCTCAACTTGTTGAAACGGAAAGTAATCTTCTTGTACCAGTAGCTTAAAAAATGGTACGTGTTATATAGAAATTATTACGTCTAACCTGATCATCATTAATATGTCAAATGGAAGTGACTACCTGCACGATACAGGGAGTCTAGTGTGGGGACTGATGTACTTTCACTTTTAACCAAACATGCTTTTATATTATATGTTATAAGGTTTTTTCTTTCTTTCTTCTACCTGTCCAAGGGCCCGTGTGGCTACGGACGAGAAGTTGTACATATCCTTCGCGCAATTCACAGTAGCCTCAGATTATAGTGTCTCTGAAGTTAGCAGAGCACTTACCAGCAGAGCACCAAAAAGTTCTCGTAGCACACACAATCGTTCTATAGTTCCTGATAGTTTTAAGAAAAAGTTCTGGTCGTGTAACTCCAGAAAAGCGTAGAATGCTCTGGCAGCTTCCTGCAGGTTTCACAGAAGAGCATTTCTTGTGGATTAGTAGGTTTAGCTACAGTGTGAACTCGTGAGAGGCCGTCTAGTACATCGCACACTTGAAATATACTTGGTTGTAATCTTAGACATGTTGAAACTTGTTAGACATTATTGTTTACTGAATTATCTCTTTACTAAAGGAATTCTCAGCGTGTTTGTTTGACGTGAAATCCCAGAATGTAATTATAGTGTGTACTTAAGCGAAATCGTAATTTCAATAATGTGTGTACTCTGGCGGAAACAATTCCATTAAATTAATTAAATTGTATTTTCGCGCCTCTTATTAAAACATTGGTTATGTTATTATTATGATTAAATTGTTGATTTCATTTAATATTTAGCGTAGTGCTGAAAAATATTTATAATAAAAGTTTATTTTGCGAACTAATGAACTGTGGAATCGACTCCCGGTGGGGGTCTTCCCCGAGAGATACGACCTCCAACTATTCCTCCCTCAAAGGCCGCCAACGCACCCACTAAAAATGGGTGTCAATAAGCAGCGATGACTGACCTTTATGGGCGTGCCGTAGGCTGATTTGCCCCCTATTATATAAAAAAAAGAGAATTTTTAGAGGAGTTTAAATCATTTACTACATATCTATAATATTTTTACTCTAATCATCTTTAGAGCACACGACAGGAATAGAACCCGTGATCTCCATAAATTCCACGTGTCTTTACCACTAAGCCACGGACACTTTTAGAATTTTACTGAAATATTGGTGTTCTTTGTTTCAGTCGCTCCCAAAGGAACAAAATAGGCATGAGCGTTTCCCACCCTCAGTTGAGTTATATGAACGGGTGTAATGGAAACGGGACCGGCTCTGGATCAAGGAAAGGGAGAGATGTAGCGACACAAACGCCGGCGAGCATTTCAGCTGAGACTCGACGCGCTAAGTTGAAGCCTTTGAAGATTTCATTGGCTGCCCCCAACGCTTTGAGTTTAAGGTAGGTTTATAAATGGAATCCAAAGAATATATATAGTTACTAGTTGACCCGACAAACGTTGTTTTGCCTTGAATATTATTTCTAAGAAACTTTGTTTTAGTTCAATAAAAATGACTATCTGCTATCGTAACAAATAGGGGTTGATCGTAAAGGGGTGAAAATTAAGGGTTGTATGTATTTTTGTATGTTGTATCAGAAAAAAATAAAAACAATTTTTTTTTCGGGTGGACACCCCTTATCACTTAAGGGTTTGAAAGATAGATAGTAGCCGATTCTCAGACTTACTGAATATACATAACAAATTTCATAACAATCGGTCCAGAATTTTATATATTAGATAACACATAGATTTAGGTCTTAATTTTATAATGTATTATGTAAATTGCTTTGACCCTTCGTGAAAGCAACCCTTATAAATATAATTATCGGTTTTATAACGTATTATAATTTCATACTCGTACTCCAGTACATTGTTATTTATTTATTTATTATTTATTTCGCGAATTTTATCTATTAAGCCAATAAATTATCGTTGAACGTGTATCTTAATTATATTCTCTCCCTCTTCCATTGTCAGGTACAATAAGTAGGACTTAATATGAACTGATCCATAGTTTAACCCCATCCAAAAATTATTTCTTAGCTAATGTCTCCTACTTATTAACTCGAACCTTCCCGAGTGTTATACCTCTTGTTTATCGCAAACATCGTTTATTAAAACCTAAACATAACAATCAAATATATAGTATTTATTATTTTCTTAACCTACATAGTAATAATAAAAATAATTAAATATTAATAAAAAGAAAATTAAAACAAATTTAAAAAGTTTGGTCTCTGTGGCACCTTTAACGCTGGCAGCATTTCCTCGCTGTATTGATACTTATTTGTTGAGCGATGCAAGCACCAGCTTCGAGGGCGCCGGTACTATCTACCAGCCGCCAACTTAAATCTTTAATTAGCGCCTGTGCACTAGAACGCCACGGCCCAAGAGTCTCTAAAGGGAACAAAATTTAGGAGTTGGAGAAAAGACTTGAATATTTGAGCCGTTTGTTATAACTAATACTACAAACTTACCTGACAATTTTCATCATTGTCAAACGGTTTCGATATTTCGTTAATAATAGATTTGATTTAAAAACGGTTAAAGCCTTAAGTGCTTTTAAGACTCAATATGGAAGAATACAGGTAGTTTCGTAATTGTCAATTTTGCTCCAAAGCATCGATTAATGGGCTCCAATTTAGCTTGTTATTGTCATTAAATATGCAGGCTACGTTGTTTGATCTCGTATAGATGCAATATCCGGTCTTACGAAGCCTTCGTTCAATTAATTTATACAGTATTTGTATATATTCAAGTTGAAAAGCTACTTTTATGTTAATTATTATCAGATAGAAGAACGCTTTAAAGTTTTATAATCATTTATAATCGCACTACGAATATAGAGAAGAATCGTAACCGTTGATTAAATTACCGTGATTGATTGATTGCGTCGAAAAAGACAAGTTGAGACGGAAAAACAACAGATTTTTGTTGGTTACGATGTGGTTAGAGGGGCACGTCTCTGACACTTTGCGCCTACGATATATTTCTGAGAAAATTTGAAGAATCTGGTAAACAATAACAATCTATAATTTTGGTTTATTTAAACCTATATAAGACAAGGATTAAGTACAAACTGTATGTAATATTGAAATTAATACTGGTTGGACACCCCTTATCACTGAGGGGTTTGAAAGATAGATAGTAGTTGATTCTCAGACTTATTGAATATGAATATAAAATTTCATAAGAATCGGTCGAGACGTTTCGGAGTAGTATGGGAACGAATATTGTGGCACGAAAATGTTATATATATAGATGGAATATTTAAAAACGCTTCATATTCATTAACATTTGAATTGGCCCAAAACTGAGCTGAATCAAAAGGCACATTAGAATACAAAGTCATTTATATAATAAGGATATTATACCTAAAAATTAGAATAATGACTCATACGAATAAAAATATACACAAACACAAGTCACAGTTTGGGCCCTTAAATAAATACGGACATAAATTCACCCTTACTAATTTTCCTCATAACCTGTAAATTTGCAAACAAAATGGGGTTCAAAGTTATGTGCGGCAACATTTATTCAGAACAATTCAACTAGTGTCTGTGAAATTGTTGTTTTGGGACCCTTGTGTGAGAATTAATCTTTAGGACCTTTAGCTTTTATTTAGTCTGTTTTGACACATTCAAGGGTCTGAATAATAGTCCCTACACGATCATATTTTCTATCGCGGTAACTGTTTCGCCTTTATTACTTCTTTATACCGTGAAGGGCCCATTCGAAGAGTGTTGCCAGTTTAAACAAAATTAGTTACATATAGAATTATGTTTACAACGCTTCACACACATTTTTTAAGGGAATAGGATGGTAGCAAGGATGAATTGTTACAGATATGTATTTTAAAAATAGGTATTTTTTTTTAATTATCTTATAAATCTTGCACTAATAACAAAATATAACATTGTAATAAATATATTGTGCGAAAGTAATAGCTTTTTTAAGTAAACATATACTTTCTACCTTAATTTTTACCGTCGTCAAGTTGATAAAAGATTACGTATGTTTCGTTTATCTCATCTCTCATGTCGTCGTAGGTTCGATCCCAGGCTGTGCACCAACGGACATTATGTCTATGTGCGCATTTAACATTTCCTCGAACGGTGATGGAAAACATCGTGAGGAAACCGGCTTGCCTTACACCCAAAAAGTCGACGGCATGTTTCAGCACTGGAGGCTGCTTGCCTATTAGATTGCTATAATCATGAAACAGATTCTGAAATTTGACTAATCTAAATTTATGTCTGATTTATTGATTCCAGGTTTCTAACAAATCGCAAGAAAGGCAGATCGCTATCAGCCAACGCTGTAGCTAACGAACAAAAAGCTACGAAGGTCCTTGGCTTAGTTTTCTTCACATTCGTCTTATGTTGGGCCCCTTTCTTCTTACTTAATATTCTGTTCGCGTCCTGCCCTGCCTGTATCGTGCCAGGTAATTTATTTAAACAATACGTATTAATTTGATATATTGTTAGGGAAGAGGCTAATTACCTAGAGTGCCCTGTTTTGTAAGCTTGTATTGTTATAATCCATTTGTCATATTAACACGCTAATTGAAGACAAGATACGCATCTGTAATTTCATATGTTAGTAACTAGTATTAATATGGGGAGTGAGTACGTGAACAAAAGGCAATATAATAGGGGGGTTTCGTTTGTAAACGGAACGGTGGATCGTGTCGCGTGACTGTGATTGGCCTAGAGACACTGTTCACCAATCGTTACTGGGAAACTCACAATTGTATAGTTTATAATATTCTTATACTATATATAAAAATTTCCCAATATCCCCTACTCTTGTGGTGCGGGACCTTATTTTATACATATATATTTTAAGAAAATCCCTAATATATATATATTACTATTTCTATTATATATTCATAGGAGAGTGGGGGCCCGTCATATTAGTAGTTGTGTGAGTAAATATTCTATATATTGTCTTCATACAAGTACCTAATCTCAAATAGCTATAGAATTTGTCTAAGCACTCTTCGTAATTATAAACAAAGAAATGTGTCAAAAGTTTCTAAAACGAATTTTGGTCCATTTATAATGCAACACCTGAGACGGCTGGGCTAATTTCTTGAATACGTAAAGAAAATATATAGGAGCTGACACTATAATTCAAACATATTCATATCTATATAGGTACTATACAAACATAGTATTACCGAATATACTCTTAGGAACCAACATTTATTTAATTTATGGTACAAAATATGTTTATAGGTATGTATTATCATATTTTTTTACTTCATCTGTGTAACATGTTCTAGATCACATCGATACATATCTTTGGATTTCTTGGGATTGTTTGTTTAGTTTCTTATAAATAAAGACAATATTTTGTTTCAGAACACGTGGTAGATATTTGTCTATGGCTTGGCTATGTATCGTCTACGATCAATCCTATTATCTATACAATCTTCAATAGAACCTTTAGAGCGGCATTTTTGAGGCTTCTACGCTGTCACTGTAGTAGGTAAGTTAAATAACGTATGAAAAAAATATTGAGCGAAAAGTTGTTTTAGTTTGGTTAAAGTTTGGGTTGGGTTGGGTATGAATATATGCATTTTACGATCCGGTCACGACATGTAGATTGATGACATAGCTTTTATAATAATTTGTAGATGTATTATTTTTTAAATAATAATAAAAAATGTAGACTATTAGAAAATATAAATAAAAAAGATTTTTTTGTGTTTTGAGCAGTGTTGGCCTAGTGGCTTCAGCGTGCGACTCTCATACCTGTGGTCGTAGGTTCGATCACCGGCTGTGCACCAATGGAATTTCTTTCTATGTGCGCATTTAACATTTGCTCGAACGGTGAAGGAAAACATCGTGAGGAAACCGACATGTCTTAGACCCAAAAAGTCGACGGCGTGTGTCAGGCACTGGAGGCTGATCACCTACTTTTTATTAGATTAAAAAATGATCTTAAAACTGATTCAGAAATCTGAGGCCAGACCTAAAGAGGTTGTAGCGTCACTGATTTTATTTATTTATTTTTTTTGTCTTTTGGCAGACACAAAGGATAGTGGGCACGATAATGTGCAAAATAAATAAAATCCTGAGATTTTCTTAATTCAAATTCTCTTACATAGGATTCGGCATTCTAAATATATTAAATAATTAGTGATGCCCCGAATAATGTAGAGTCTGGAACTCTTCCGGAGAACCAAAAAATATAACAAAAACTTTTCTATTTAGATGAAAGCCCTATTGTGTTGATATTAAAAAAATATTTATTTTTAATTACTAACTGAAGTGTATAGCTAACTTGGCACAACTCCAAGTGAAAACAGATTGAAAACAGATTGAAAATTTAAGGCTCCGATGCTGTTATTGTTTCGAAATTAATTAAGGCGAAGTTTAAACTGATAAAATCACATCATTGTAACCAACGTCTTTAGGAAAACTTAAGAAAATGGGTTTTAAAAGGTTTTATTATTAAGGTGGCTTCATAAGTTTAAACACCAGTGGGACTACAACCTTTTGGTCTCGGCTTCAGATATCAGCCGTGCGATTCTGTTAATCCGTGAGTTCCCCTCGCGCTAATAACGCTCCCTTCGTCACTCACGTCATTTTTGGAATCTCATGGCCAGAATACCATTAACCAAGACCAAGGGTTTGTCGCTCTACGGTGTGTTTTTCACTGTTTACTCAGTGTACCTAAGTAATGGAAGCACAAAAAAGCATGATTTTTACAGTTTTTTCAAATTTTTAAAATGCCTCACCCCTATTTATACAGCCTTCTCTTAGGTGTTGGTTGGTAGGTTGAACGCACTTAGTTGCTTAGAAGCGACTTTTGGTTTGAATTTAATTTATTGTCATGCTACACAGTTTATTTATTAACACTATTATAGTGATACGAAATAATTACCGTGAGTCACAGTGGGGCGCAGGTAGGTAAAATATACAGTACGTTTAAACAGCATTTCTTCACGTACTTTTTAACTTAATAGTAGAACGATTTCGTTTTATAAAACCAAAATGAAAGCTGATAAATTCGCCAATTACGTTAGCAATACTAATAAGCTCGAGCTCAAAGAGAGCCTTAAACAAATGCAGTCGAAGCACGTTTTCCGAATCAGCATTTCCAATTGGATGACACTTAGAGACTCGCTTAAGGATCAGGATCGAATAATTTAATTTGTGCTTTAAATGGATTTTTTAATAAACCTTTGAAATATTCCCAAAAATACTGTTATTTATTATTTAAATATATTGTTCAGATTAAATTTGAATTGACCAGCTGACACGGCTCACGTAGTTGTTTTAAATTTTAACAGCTGAAGGTACCTGATGAACCAACAGCTCACAAGAATAATATTATGTATGTGTGTATAGGTGTAAGTAGTATTTAAGATATTGTTTTAAAACAATAAATCAGATTTGAATATTGCTCTGTCTTATTAATTTTGTCACTTGATCTCAAAATGGCGAAGACTACTTCAAGCCCTCAATTATCGTGGTGAGCTTTGAGATAATCCCACCACCTAGAACCTTTAATCCTGCCCGTAGGGCTCCGTCTGTTACCTTAGGTCTCTTGGTGCAGACTATCCGGTAATAATAAATATATTTACTATTGATGCGTTAGGGAAGTCTTTAGAGCTTAAGGTTCCGTAGGGTTGTTGGGTTCCTACATCTCACCCTTTCATATATTTGGTTATCTAGTGCAGTTTGCTCATACATACACTACATAAACTATACAGATACTTTTGACATTTAATACATATAAATTTAAACACATATTTCACAGTTCACTGGGTGGCAAGCTGTACAATGGTCCTTCGAGCCGGATATTTGATTAGTACCGTGTCTTCTGACCACTCGCATTAAAAGTACTTTTTTTCTTATATCTGTACGTTTTTGCAGACGGGGTCGTTGCACTCTCTACCGAGCGGTTGGATCTACACGCGGTGCATCGCAACTCTGTGCCAGGTCCGCCTTACCACTTGCTATATCATTGCGACCAGCCGCCATGCCCACTACCCAATCACAGGATACCACCGAAACAGTTCTTATTGAACCACGGTTAGATTTTAATGTTAGATATTAAATACCGTGATTTTTTAAAAACTGGTTCTACAATAATTGTAATCAAAAGTCTTATTATTGTGATCGCTGATATAAAACAGTGTTTAACAGGGCCTGATTAAGTTTCTATAAATATGCTAATTTTTAGTAGATATAAATTTGTCTTTGTAATATGTAAATCTCAATATTTATTGATGTTTGGTAAGATCGGAAGAGGACATACGAAGAGACAACGAGAATGATGGTTCTAGGCCTTACAAGATATAAGGCTGAAATTTATACCGTACTCGTTTGCGCTAAGTGTGATCAAAGCAAAAACGTAGTTTGACTTACGGAGGTCGGGCCAAAATTTGTTTTTGATTGTTCTATTTATTTTGGTCTCGTTTTCTATCCCTTACACTTAGCTTACACTTATATTAGTTAAGATTTTTATTTATTTTCCCAGATTATTATTGTATCTCAGTAATGAGTTGGTTACACAACAAAACATCTGAATAATTCTATTATTAAAAATACTGATATTAAAAATGTCATATTTATTTCTTTGGGAAACAAAAAACATACATCTCTTTACCATAAAAAAAGTTAAATAAATAAAACATAAAATAAAAACATTGGTATCCACAAAAAGTTTCACTCATTAAAAATATGATAGAAAGCCAATCAAAACAAAACATGACAAAATGTATAAATCCGGAGAACGAGAAACATACTAGTAGCTATAATAAGATACAAGGATAAGTCATTAATAGTTGTTTTAAATTATTATTTATTTATATTTTATACCTTCACCTTATAAGTATGGACTTGATATATTGGCCCAGAAGAACCATTTGAATCGCAAGATTACACTCATCATGTATTCACTCAGGTTCGTGACGTGTGCGCTGGCTGAGGCTAAACGCTAAAACTTACTCCCACATGTCAAACATTGACATACGGTAGTTTAACACACATAGAGTCTGGCTAATCAAAGAAGATAATTGAATTATTTGAAAACTTTCGGATGGCAACATAGAAAGTTATTTAATTTCTTAGGTTAGTATGATTTATTGTCTTGATACTTCATGCAATTACTCATTTTTATTTCTATTATAACCTTTTTCCAAATAGTTAACAGGTATAATAGCCTAAACTTTGTTTTATTGATTTTGATTATTCCGAATAAAGATATGTGTTACAATAAATATAGTTTTAGTTTTCCATGCAATGCTAGTAATTTTAAGTATCAATAGTAAACGACTAAACGTGTAGTATTTAATTTCATAGAAATACAGTTACTATCTATGTAAAAAATAATAAAATAAAATCAAGTATCAAGTAAGCTTAATCCTCAAAATATATCAAACTTTTAAACTCAACTCAAACTCAAAATATCTTTATTCATGTAGGTAAACAATTACACTTATGAATTATGAATTCACATTTACTACCAGTTCGCAAGTCAAGGGCGTAGAGCGGGTAACAAGAACTGGCAAGAAACTTTCCGCCACTCTTTTTAATCGCCAAGTATGGTCATACAAATTGTTTGAACTGGAGCAAATCAATCCCAAGGATCATTTAAGTATTCCTCAAATTTATAAAAAGCTTTATTGATTAATTTCCGTTTAACGAAGGCTTTAAATTTATTTAGGGATACCAACATATTTTTTTTTTAATTTGCCGCGCTTTTTCGTTATCTTCTTTCATTAGCCAGACTCTAGTCATGTTTATGAATCTTACCTAAGTACTATAAGTCTAAGTAGGCTTTATAAATTTCTGCCATAGTCTAAACACATTATTATGCAAAATTTTGTGTGAAACAAAGAGCCCAATACCTATAGCTTCAGTCCTATAGGTAATAAATTATTGTACTTTGTAAAATTGTATGCAATAATGTAAATATGATTTATTTTAGTATTTGTCGTTTTTAGGTGTAAATTGATATTAGTATGCGTTGTGATGTTAGTTATTTCAATAATATTTGTAGACTCTATGTTTGAGGGTTAAGTGGTATTAATAAATTATTATTTTTACTCATTGTTTTAATCGGACAACAATATCCCCTTAAAATAAAAACACGCCCGTGACATGAGATGTATTTATGTGATTCCTTTGTGGAGGAAGGATGGTGTACTGTTCATTTTACCCTAATGGGAGGATCCTCGAACAGTCTAAAGCTGACTGTAAAGTAAATTAAAAAGTAAAAAATCATTTAATCATATAGGTAACATAATGTACACTTATGACTCGTGAGTAAAGAAATACATATTAATGCTTCTAATTTTACATTTATTGCCATTTAGTTCTCAAATCAAGGGCGTAGAACGGGAGAGAAGAACTGGCAATAAACTCTCCGCCAGTCTTTTTAATCGATATTTTTTTTTGTTTTACAAAATGTTTGTAAGGAGCTGCAACCATTACACCATGTCCCACGTGACGTTTTAAATAATTAACTGGCTCAAATACCCCAATGGCTAATGTCGAGATTATATATATATACGTAGCGGCCGCAATAACTTCGTTAGTTTACGTTTCAGTGGGTGACGTCAGTGTCGGAACACCTTCAATCGATTCAATAGTCTGATTTTTATATAATTCAAGCTATAACATGCTTGCTTACTGATTTTATGAAGCATTTTTAACGGAAAATTATTATTTTTATATTATCAACAATTTTGCTTTGAACATTTTACTTTACGCATGTTGCCACAAACAAAATATTTACTTAATTACTTAAAGTTTTTACATAGCCAACAAGACAACTCATGTCTAGAAAAGTTTTTCTAGCCATAAAGAGAGATATAGAAAATGTTTTCTACGACTTCAAAATAACGTCTATTCACTACAGAACTCATCTGTCATTTACTTTCCTCTATAATCTTTAATTTATATTCTATATTTTTGTTCATCTGCTTATTAGCGCTAGCGATACAAGTACATATATATTTATGTATATATGTAACATAGTTTATGTATAAGAAGTTTACATAGGTTTTCTGGCTACCAGGACGTCGAGTAATTGTTCGGTACTATGCGAAGTATCGAATGTCATTTTAGAAACAAGCGAAATACCCGCATAGAGAAATGATAAACACACTAGTTGGCAACACAAATGCATACTGGAAGACGATCAATCACACCCGTCGCCCGAATCCCGTGTGATATTGAGAACTGTTTGCGACCGGAAATACATCAAGTGTTTGGTCTTGTATATTGTGGTAAGGAGAATTTATGGACTGTGTTATTGGTAAAGAGATCCACTGCAGTACACGGTTGATTAGAAACAAATATATATTTTACACGCCTGTTCTCATCGTTTAATGGTCATTTTACCAGATTTTAAAGGGTGGACAATTTTAGCACCATTCTCTTTATTTCGATACAAAAAAATTTCTTCGGGAGTTGTGTGCTGCGATATTGTGAGGAAGTTGCATGGATCTGGCTAGCGCTGCGTGTTTTGATTGTACTCATTTTAACATGTATGATGTTTGAGAGCAAAAATAAAATACAATGAAGGTCCTAGTACCGAGTGTCTAATAACGATCACATAATCTACTACTACTGTTTACTCGTACATTATATCATAAATCAAATCTGTTAGTTCCGTCATAAAATGACAAATTATATACATTTAAAATGTTTTTTTTTACTATGTAAATAACGTTTATTAGTAATCATAATAATCAAATATACAGTTTTTACAATTTTCTTAAGCTATATAGTAATACATAACAATAAAAAAATTTTTTTTTAAAAGTTTGGTCCCTGTGGCAGTGTACCTTTAACGCTGGCAGCATTTCCTCGCTGTTTTGCGATATTTATTCGTTTAGCGGGGATAGCACCAGCTCTGGTGTCACTGGTACTACTGCCAGGCGCCAACTTAAATCTTTAATTAGCGCCTGTGCACTTGAACCCCACGACCCAAGAGTCTCTACTCCAAAGGGAACAAAATCTAAGTTGAAGTTTGTTATTTCCCGAAAATGTTTACTAACATTTTTTTAAATTTAATTTACGTACTCATAAATATTACTTTTATATTAAAATACAGAATGGTGATAGAAATAACAAGTGAAAAATATTGTTACCTGAGGTAATCCTTAATAAACAAATTACTAACAGCTGTACACTATAAATAGGACATAAAGTAAGTATAAATGTTCTACATAAAAAAATATAATTCCATTTTCACAAAAAGAGAATTCATAAAACCGAGCATTTTGTCCCAATCCAACAATGAAACTTTAAGCAGCTGCTTTATTTAGCAATTCAACTTAAAACCCATTTTATCTTTTCCTCTCGAAACTTGAAAGCTCGGCCAAACTTAAACTTTACTCATTACCTTAATATCTTCATAACTTTCACGCGTTTAAATCATCTGATTTAGGTTTAATAGAATCCAATTTTTAATTTCCTCTACTAAGAATAATTTTAAGTGATTGGCCCAATGGGGTTACTTTGTATAATAATTTAATTTAAGGCTAAGTTTACAGCTGTCTATCAACACGAAACAATTATTGTTAAGCCGATCGAACCCAGGGCCATCATGAAGGCCGCAGGTCTAATAAAGAATGATGATTATCGCCGGCGTGGCGTGGTTCAACAGTTGATTTTTTCACTCATTTAACCTGGTGATTTATTAGTCGCGTACTGTTTCAATTTGACAAAGAAAAAAAATTACTATGAAAGAAGACGATGAAATATGTCTACGTAATATAAGTCTCCGTGGTAGTGATATCGTGACTTCGATCTGGCGAATAATTGTTTTGGCCTACTTTCATTTGAATAAATACAACAACTGCAATAATTACATTAGGTACGGTAAGGTTAAGCTATTAGAACCATCCCTCAGGGAGTTCCTAATAGCTCTCATGACTTCATAAAATTACATACAATTGGCATATAATTGTTTCAAAGAAATTTATTGCAAATTGATTTTACATGAATTTCAGCGAACAACAGTTTGTATTATTTATTCCAACGTTCGTTAAATGGTACGAGTAAATCGCGTGATATCGTTGTATCATTTATCGATGGATTGTA